TTTTGGTGGAAGAAATCTTGACGTTAGTACAGAGTAGAAAAGCTCTACAACTATGAAGGCAGCTTGATGCAGCCTTAACCAATCAGAGAGCTAGATTTTTCCACCTTTTTATCTGAAGACAAGCAAACGGATAAATGATAAGTTGTATTGCATTAGCTCTGATGGTCATTCATGTAAACGTTTAGGTTTCTGCTGAGTTTCATGATGCGACACAATCAAAAGACCTTTTATTTCCTGTTATAAATCAAAAGGTAGAGCTCGGTTATTACGTACTTAGTGTCTTCTGGGAGAGAAAATCAAATGTCTGATTCCAGTGAAACATTAATTGTGTGAAAGTGAACAAAGATGGCTGTGCTTTGGTGTATAATTTAAGAGTAATCAGGTAAGATTTTGCAAATATGCTTCAAAGCTCCTCACTATGGCGGCCCAGAAGGTTAAATGAAATTCAAAAGCTGCAATGGAAGTAATAGTTAAACAGAAGTAAAAAAAACAATACTAAAATACAATTGCATAAAATGGAAATTGTTGTCAGTGGGAACGTATATTAACCCTAAATATGTCAAAAATGTTGGAAAATGAAAGAACATTTAAACTCAAAACATATTATTCTGATTTTGTGCTCACAGACTAATATCACAAGCTAAATAACTATGAAACCGTTTTTGAAACATAATTTTGTTATTAACCACATGACCGGCTCAGTGGCCTAGTGGTAGTGCCCGCCCTGAGACTGGGAGATCATGGTTCAATTTCTGGTAGGGTCATACCAAAGAATTAGAAAAAAATGGGACCCAATGTCTCCCTGCTTGACACTCAGCATTACGCGGTTGGATTGGGGGTTAAACCACCAAATGGTTCCTGAGCGCGGCTGTGTCTGCAGCTCACCGCTCCCCCAGGGGATGGGTCAAATGCGGAGAACAAATTTCGCACACACATCAGTGTGTGTGACAACTAAAGCTTGGTTTATGCTTGATGCATTTACTTTCTGCTTGGTGATGCGGCTCGCGGATGGAACGCGCTTCACAACTCGCAGCGTTTATCAATCAATCAATCAATCAAATTTTATTTCTAAAGCGCTTTTCAAACAAAGTGTTATTCAAAGTGCTTTACAAAATGACCCCAGATTCCCATAACAGGTTAAAAACATTAACAAACATATGCAATCACACGCGCACACACACAGACTCACACACACACACAAGTAAAAATTATATTAGGCTGAGTCCAGATGAGCCAAGTACGGTAACGCAAGGAAACGCCATCAGAGGAGCCGTCTGTCCCGGCAGCATCAGGTCTTCCACACTAAGTCAGGGCGCTCAGTGGAGGGGGAGCATAGACCCCCACCTATAGAGCGCCCAGGAAGCTACAGTCGACCACCGCTCCCGGGGCAGAGGGCCCCCACAGAGGAAACACTGGATTAAAATGAGTAAAAATGTAATAAAAGAGCTAATATAAATGACAAAAATTAGAAAATAAGTAATAAATAAAATGATATAAACAGTAAAATAATAATTTAAATAATGAAACTGTGCTAAAATATAATCATATACAACATGCAAAGCAAGTAATAAAATATAATCATGTACAACGAGAAATAAAACTGTAGAAAATATTTAGATAAAAGCTAACCTAAAAAGATGGGTCTTGAGTCTTGACTTTAAAACATGAACGTTCTCTGCGGCCCTGAGGTCCTCTGGTTCATGTGGCTTGTCTCTGCGGTGAGCCAATATTCTCCCAAACTGTAGTTGGCAGCATGGAGCTCTACAGCATGAATCCAACACTACACCATAGTAGAAGTAACAATTACTGTTGTTTACAACATGGCCTTCCAGCATTTTTAACAGCATCCTTGTCTTTTCCGACGGTGCGAGCTATTTCTCTCCAAGAATTATTAACAACATGCTGATCACGGTGATCTTTGAGAGCTGAATCATACAAATGTCTGTATTTATGAACCTCTGCCATACTAGTTCTTGCCAGTCTGCCAAGTTTTTACGTGTCCGACCGTCCGCGTGGTTAAAAAATTTCCTAGGTGCGCGGTGCGGAAAGTTTGGGCCGTGCGGAGGCGCATTGGAGGGGCGTGGTTGTTAAAATGACACAATGTAGCCGCGCGAACCTCGCGAACGCGTCAAGCATAAACCAACCTTTACGGGACTTTAACTTATTGAACTTTAGGCTACTTCCTACTCCTTTTTTGAACAGATGCAAAGCATTGGTTTCTGTTATTATTTTTATAACAACCCTCTTTTCTTTTTATTGGATTTTATTTGTCTGTTTATATGTTGCATTCACCATTGTTCAATTTTTTTATTGCACAATTAAAAATAAACGTTCTGATTCTGAAGCACCAACGTAAAACCCCATAGTTCCAGCGTTGGCACGATCAAGGTATTAGCATTCCATTTTTGGTTCTTTTTAAAACACAGGAAAGGTTTCTCTTTACCTTGCTAATGTTTCGTTTGTCGACTACAAAACATCCTCAAAGCTGACGCTGATGGTGGCGCCACTTCCTACTCCGTTTATTCGCGGGCAGTAGAGGACGTTGTCGCCCTCTGCTGCCCGCTCTCCCCTCTCCGATGATGCAGTCCCATGCACGATCCAATGTGTAGACCCCATGGAATTAGAAACTAGACACAGTAAGAACACACCAAAGAAGGTATTAGCACAACCGTGAGTTTCTGTTGACCATAACATCCATTATATGCTATTTGATTTTAGTATTATTTGTTTCATTGTGGCTTATTTTTGTTGTTGAACCTTTTAGGCCACCATACCTCACACTTTCATTCATTTATCTTTCATTCATCTTTATTTCGAGCTATTAAAAACACTTTCTTTCCAATCTATTGAAACTGGACAAAAACTATTTTATAACTGAAACAGAGAATTTTCCTAGAAGGATGTCAAAGATTTGCATCATTTGGTAAAAGTCAAACATCTGGAAGTAGTTTTTTTTTGCATCGATGCTCAACATTGCGCTCAATGTATTATCATGGAAGATATCCATAATTATGCAATTTTGGAAACCATAGAGCACCACGGTTAAAAATAAGTGGGAAAATATCTTTTTCTCACATTTAAATAGTTTTTTGTTTTTACATTTGTATCGACTTGTCCAGGGCATGAAAATCTTGAATGTTTACTTGGGAACAACTAATCTTGTTTTCCTCAAGGAAAACCAAGTGGAGAACGAATGCAGACCGTCTTCTGGACAGACTTCCATTTATTCTGGCTGTGGATCATGTGCAAAACGACCCGTCCTTAAAAACAAAAAAATAAGCTGACAGAATGATGCAACACAGGGTTTATTTTGAAATAAACTGGATGCACCTTACGGGCACACGTCTCACTTCCTGTCTGGCTCATCGAATTTCTTCAACTTCATGACGATCTTCATGCAGCGTCAGGAAAAACAGAAACCACACATTCCGTAGCTCAACATCCGGATCAGCACTGCACCTCAGCCGATGTGAATGCTCTGATTGGACACAATGGTTTTTGGTCTCTGCGGAAGCTGCAAGGACTCCACTCCGTATCCATTTTGCACTCTGTGTAAATTAGGCTAACACCTTAACACAAGATTTACCATTAATAAATCAACAGAGTTTTCAAAGTATATATAAATAGATTAAAAAAATCTTTATTTAGATAATATAAATAGGTAAAACTGAATGTTTTATGGCTTAAAGAGAGAAGCCGACTGACCTATACCAATAGTAGTGTTTTGTCAGATTGGGTCTCCTTTTCCAGGTTTTTCACTCGGTGATTATGAACAGGGATGTCTCATATTAATGGCCTACCATGAATATTTTTCAATAATGTCATTAAAATAAAATATGTTTCATGGACGAGAACTGGCCTTTTTATGTCTAAACGTTACTCTGAATACAAACAACTTAGCATTTTTAAGCCACCTATACAATTAATTCAAATTTTTGAGTCAACCTTTGAAGTACTTGTGTAGTTACTTTACTTTCTAATTTTCAACAACAGTAGAAACTCAAGACACAAACTGATTTTAGGAATATTAAAGGTATTTTGTGTTGCTGCAGATACCAACTCAGCCTCTGCTTTGCCAGATCCTGAATGGCGTTGCACGCCGTGCTGCACGATGTCGGAGTTCAAACCCAAAGTTTACTACTTGGACTTGACTTTGGCCCTCAGAGCCAAGTTGTTAAGCTTGACTGCTGCCTCTAAAGAAGATTATGTGTCATTACATGAATCACAGTCGGGGTTAGTCCTGCTTTGCTTCCCATCAGTGATCACCACACAGAGATAGAACGTAATACAGACAGAAGATGATGGGATGATGGCCGGGTCCTCAGAAACTTGAACAGCAGAATGATTTCTTTACTCATGCGTAAACACAAGATTTTCGTTTCTTTTTTAAAAACTAACACGGCTCCTGTAGAGTGTGTGTTGGTTTCACCCACTTTGTACCGCGTCCAGCTGCTGCAGTGTTGCACATTTCCATTGCCTCAAACAGCCGTATACCATGACCCTATGCCTTGGAGCCACCAGAGACAACTTTTACTTGTGTTGACGTGAGTTGGCCAATGTGATCATTGGAAAAAATAGAAAAAAAAATAATGAAAAGCTGGTTATTTCTGACCGAGGCTCTGCAAACAGAAATGGAGCTGTGAATGTTTCTGGAAGGTCAAAGGCTTCCAAAGGAGTTCAGCCGTCAGGTGATGTCATTCCAAGTGTAAGTAGCCGCAGACGTTCTGGTGGCTGAGCCTAGAAGTCCGTTTTGTCGGTTTTACGTGAGATTACATGTCAGGCTTGAGAAAAACGTCCAGCGTAGATGGAGTTGAATCCAACGCAAATATTTAACCAAGAACTTGAGGTCTGAAACAGAAAAATATTGAATTTGTACTTTGTGTGTCTTGGAGAGAAAAAAGTCAAACAAAACCGTCATACACTGCTTACAGTAAATATATTAGGATACTTTAAATACTCGACATGCTTGTTTTGTTTTCTGACGGACGATTTGATTCCAGGAAGAAGAATCCTTAGACTGGTGGAGTAAGTTTTATGCATCCATCGGCGATAAGAGCAAGTATGGGACTTACATGGAGAGAGGCTTCGACACCCTAAAGGTACTGGCTTGCATCTCATCACTTTTACACACGAAATGAAAATAATTGTTAAAATATCAATAAATACAAGAATAAATTTCTATTTTAATAATTTCTCAGGTATTCTATGAATTTGTATTTTAAGCCTAGAAACTTGCCAACAAAACCATATGCATATTGGAACGAATCCAGTCTAAAATAATTACATTTATTATCTTTCACTAATTATCATTATCCAACCATGCAAGTATAAAACGTCCCCACCTTCACTAAACATCATCTGCAGAAACAAAAGTGGGCCTGACTCTGTTAGAATCGTTCTTTTCTTCACACAATAAAGGAAAAACAAGACAGTTCAGGCCAGAAGTGATTATGAACAAGAGCAAACCTTAAACTTAGCATTTCTGTTTGTTTCCAACCCTTAGACTTCTCATGCCCTTTCCTTCTGCTGTGACTTTCCATCAATTTTCCGAGCTCTTTAATGACTCACTGAGGTGAATTTTCTTTGGGATCACAGCAGTGGGACTGATATAAGACTCTGGTCTGATGTCAGCAATGTCTGAAACCACCAATCTCATCGGTCGTCACCAGTTTGTCTTCAGTCACGTTTTTTTCCAGACTTTGCCGTCGTCCCAGGAGCCTCCTCTGCTCTGCTGTCACCCACGCTCTGTTCAGCTCTAATCCCGATTCTTTCGGTCCAAACGTCGACCTTTTATTCCATCTGGACCCAAAGCACATGTCACTCTTCTAGTCTGGTGCCCAAACAAATGATTAAGCACGTCAGAAAATGGTCTTAAATCAGATTCCCCCAAAAGCCAGCTCACATCAGTGCTGCTGCTTGGACTCGGTTTGTGTCTTGCGTTCCCAGAGGAATGCTGCTGCTTCATCTCAGACATGCTGTACAAGTTTTCTGCACGTACATCAGACACGTGAGCCAAACAAGACTCACACATGAGCATGCTGGGGACTTGACTGTTGTCAAAAAGCTTACAAAATATGATTGTAGAGGAGTTATAGTTTGTTTCCACACGGTCATATTGGTTTAGTTAAGGCAATCAAAGAGCCTCAAATTGAATGTAAGAATTATTATTCCAGACAGCTCTACTGAAGGGCACTTTCAGCGTGTTGACTTGCATTTTCAATGGTGGCAAATTTGTGTTAGGCCCCTTCACACAGAATAAAAGCCCCACTGTGAAGTAAAATATCAACTAGAACATCGGTGGTCTATGCAGGATCTTGGCGAGGTCCATAGGTGCCTATTAGGACCAAGTTCTGATCCAATGGATGGCGGAACCTCAGATTTTGGTTCCAATGGTTTGGTAGGATGTTCTAGTCCAGGCTTTATGAACGTTGCATTTAAGACCTTTCATTTAGACCAAATGTCCATGTTGTATAGATAACAATGTAACCTTTTCTGTCTCTTTAGGGAGATTTTGTTGCGATGAGAGTCTGGGGGTTGCTAAGGTTAAGCATCAAACATGCAAGATGCTTAATTAAAATTTTGCTTTCTGTAACCTGAAGACTGGATTTATTGTAAGCTGTAAAGAACATTGTCCATGGACAACATATGTTCCTCTGGTTGTATTTGGTAGAAAAGGGAAAAATCAACCAATGAAGTGTTTCAACAAAAACTTTCAAACATCAGTAATGTTCATGAAAGACAACAACATAAACACTGAAATGTGGCTGAACCCGAAGGGTTCAACCAACAAGAAATCCCGAAGCCCAACGGTCATTTACCACTAAGTGTCTCCCTCTGGTTTTCTAATGGGTGTATTTTTTTTTGATTCAGGAAGCTTATTAAATGTTTTCAGTCATACTGATGGAAACACGTTGAAGTAGCCTTTGAGTTTTTGTGATATTTCCAAACTCTAATCACCAAATTTACTTAACGTTTGGACGGAAACTAGTAAAAACGACCAACGAGGCACCAATCCCATTGTTGCTTGGCCTCCCATTCATCCTCTTCCTACTCCCCTGCTACCACTGATTCTGTGCCAGCACCTATTTTTTTATTCATGCCTGCCCTCTCAGGCTCCCCTCATTTATTTGACAAGCCCTCTGCTCACATCTGCTACTGTCGCAAGGAAATGAGACACTATTTCCAACCTTTACCTTCCTCTCAACCCATGCTACCATGTGCTTTAGTTACTGTTTGCTTTCATTCATTTGGTTTGTTCTGGTTTTATTGAGTAATTGGACAACTATTGTCAGAAAAGACACTTCTTAAGCCTCGCATTGACTTGAGCATCACCAAACTTAGATTTTTAATTTTTTAATGAGCATGTTTAGGATTACACCTTCTAGAGTCCTAGAACCCCCAAGGGGAGACAGAAGCGAGTCTGCCGTACACTGGCGCCACTGGTCCCTCCAACCACCACCAGCAGGCAAGAGGGGTTAAGTGTCTTGCCCAAGGACACAATGACAGTGACAGTCTGAGCGGGGCTCGGACCTGATTAAGGGGCGAGTGCTTGACTCCTGTGCCATCGTCGCCCACATTCTTAAATCAGGCTCCAAAACTGTTTCAAAAACTGAATAAACAAATTTTACAGAGATTACTTGATTGTAATTAAGGGCAAACTGTTTAAAGACCCACATTAATCAAGTTTAGGGGACAGAAAGCAGAAGAGCATATTCTAGCCTTGTTCATTAGACACACTGTTATTATAATTTCAAAGACTGAGTAAACTTTACTAACAGACATGATTTATGAGCTTGCATGTTCCATTCTCTTAGTGATTTTCTATTTGTCTCCCCTTTCGCTCTCATGTGGTTCTGGGTTTGGTTTTCATGTGCTGAAACAAACCTTTATTTCTGTGACATCATCATCGTCTTCTTCCTCCCCTTCCATCCAACCTTTTCACTCCTTCTTGCTCAGATCATACATCATGTTGCCTTTATTACGAACATTCTTATCCTTAGTTTCCTTCTCAAATCCTATAATCCTCTATTTGATGTTCAATAACTCTGGATGATCATTTCCTTGCTTCTATGACAGTAAAAACATCATTACTTAGGGATAAACTTTGGGTCTTGACTTGATGTTTTAGGCAAACTAATGAGGAGTTACTCAAGGAAATAAGCACAGAAAGGACAGTACCTTAGTAGGCTGACGTCGGGTTAGCCAGCATCAAACTAGCCTAATGTGTTGCTAGCTAACTGGCAGGTCTAAATAATGTGTTAAACTAAAAAGTTTTGTTGTAAATAGTATTTCTTGGTTCAACATTTTTGTGATAATCTTTGCTAACTTTGACATCTTTATATTTACTAATTGCACACAGATTTGTTGATTAGCTTACCAGCTAACAAAATATAATTCAATATGGAACATGGACCCTCTGGCGAACATTCTGGCGACATCTGATGTTCAGGGGTGATATCGCAACAACATAACTAATTGTCCTGCCGTCAGAATGTTGGATCACTGCTGACACATTGCGGCACCATGTTCAGTGACAAATCGTACAGGATAAGGACTCATTTCTATCAATATGTTTATTTTACGTCAGCATTTGCCATTAAAACATCTGGGCTCAGAACCAGCTGCTTGACTTGTCCGGTCTGCCATTTTGCACAGACCCTGCATCGCCGTGCTGATCGGACTTTTTAATGCAACTGTGCCCTCTAGTGACTGGTAGATGTAAACATAAATCCAGTGTCGTGCCCGTCAAAAAAAAAAAAAGAATTTATTAGGCCCGAGGTCGATGGGTGTTCCAGTTAGCTCCGGTTGGGTTGAAGCTAGGTGGCTACATCCGTTAGCTCGGCTCCCACCTCCGCTTTAGCTTTGGGTTAGCCAGGGTTAGCTTCAGGTTAGCTCGTAGCTAGTTCGCCTGGGTGTCGTCACTCGAGCCCAGTCTTACAGCCACACCCTCAGCGCCTCCTCTCTTCCCTTTTATGGAATTGTCTGGGCTGGACGGAACCTGTGACACGGTCAAAATGGCGGTGGTGGCCACCTCCCATTATAGACAACAAACGTGTTATTGAAGCCAATGGAATCCGTTTGTCCAGTATGTACAGTCTATGGGCCCGAGAAGCGAAAGCGCTGTGAAGGCCTCTTGTTATTTATTTTGATTTAACTTTTAAAGGAAAACTTTTCATTCATTCTGCACACCTCTAAACACCCTGTGGAGGTTTAATATTTTTTAAATATAGCTTTTTATTGAAATATTCCATATTCCACCTTTAACCTAAAACGTAAACATTTAACTGTAATACAGAATGTTTTACAGTGAAATCCTGAGAACTGAGGCAACGAAAAGACTATGATTACTACTCACCAGTCACTGAATTATCTTAGTCCGTTTGTTTCATTGCTGGTTGCTGAACAGCTAACTAAGCTAACTTGCTAACTAGCAGGTACATCAAAAATGCTGGGTTAAGACTTGTGAATGGCAGAATAAATTATTTAAATTGTGTTCCCTGCTTTGATCTGAAGTCCGTGATAGTCACCAAGTTATTGTAAAATGTTTGGTGGTTAGCTTGCTAGCCTACAGGTGCAGCTTTTTTCAGTTTTATTTTTTCATTCCAAGATTTAAAAACAATTTAGGCTAATCCTGGAGTATGACAGAAAACACACATTACATTTTGAAACAATTTAAGCAAACACAATAGCACCAAAGTAAGCTAGAATCTGACTTGAAAAGGGTTTACCTTTGGCAGCTGAAGTTTTATTATAAAACAAGACATTGTGTATTGGAATGGTTAAAACCAGAGTGGGCGAGATGTCCAACACAAAACGTGCATAATGTCTTTGTGGGGACGAGGACAGTAAAACTGAGTCGATTGTCCTTTTCAGGTGTATGATCAGGAGCTGGAGAAGGTTGAGGATTTTCAAGGTCTCTCTGATTTCTGCCAAACATTCAAACTGTACAGGGGAAAGAGTCAGGATGAAGGAGATGATCCGTCGGTGGTCGGAGAGTTCAAGGTAACCTGAAACTAGTTTTCCTTTACTGATTATATATTATTTCACATAAATGTTTCGTGAACTCTTCTGATGCTAACTAAATTCACAATTCTTTAAAGAGCAAGTCACCCCTACCAGATTCTTACTCAACTCCCACTTCCTGTTTGAAAAATGCAACTAATGCTTCTAAGACCAAGAGGGTGGAGCCGCTAACAAATACACACACACATAGGCTCACAATGACATTGTGACATCATATGGTACCAGCTAACGTTCTAGGGTACCTCTTAGACAATAGCGATGGCAGATTTATATCCAAATGCAGTGCAGAGTTTTTACCTGAGAATGGCACAACACTGACAGTTTTAGGCAGAAAAATAAAATTTTAACTAAAATGCACTAAAGTGCTAAACTATTGACTACACGTGTCTGCAGCACAATTAGACCCGCATTTATATAGTTTATCAGAAAAAGTAAGTTGATTTGGGGGTGACTTGCTCTTTAAAAGCACAGTTTTTGCAGTCGAGTCGTTTCTGCCCTCTGGCATGACTCTCCATGTTTTCACCAGGGTATGTTTAAGGTCTACCCCCTGCCCGATGACCCCTCAGCGCCTGCTCCACCCAGACAGTTCAGGAAACTTCCTCCCAATGGCACAGAGGAGTGTTTGATCCGAGTCTACGTCATCCAAGCTCAAGGGCTGCAGCCCAAAGACGCCAACGGCAAAGTATGAGGAGATGTAGAAACAACAGCAAAATATCTCTTAAACTACCAGATGAATCTGACAGATTTTGGAGTTAACTCAATTCAAGATGACCACCAAAGCTAATTGAGATTAGCAAAAATAGCTAAAGTTCAGTCGATTTTAGATACAGAGTTAAGATTTGGTGAGACTCATTCACAACACATGTAATCTGACAGATTACACAAGTTATTATTAGGGTTGGACCAAAAAACTATTTCTCTATAATTTCTCAACATTGGAGGACCTTAGTCCAGAAGCTTGGATTAAATTTGGCGTCTGATGTTCGTTACTTATAGGCTTTGAAGGTTTTAAAGTCTTTTTAAGTAATTTGAAGAAAAAAAAATATAAACCCTTTCCCTTCATTTCAGTGTGACCCCTATGTTAAGATCACTTTGGGTAAAAAGACCATCAGTGACCATGAAAACTACGTCCCCTGCACGCTGGACCCTGTCTTTGGAAAGTACGTACAGCTTTTTCTTTTTTTAATCCAGAACCAGATTGTGCAAAAAGGTCAGAGTCGTGTTAGGTTTTCTTATTCATAGTAAGGAACTAGAAATCTTAGTTTTACTGTTTTACTGATAAACATTATCACATTCACTATAAAATATGCACCTAATACATTTTTTAAATCCAGCAACATAATTCTCTGATAACCTGATCAAATTAAAACGTTTCCTGATAACTTTTAAAAAGTTGTTTTAGGTGAAACTTCTGCTCCAGTCTCTGGACTGTTGGTGTCGTTTGGTTTGTGGGTGGATGGGCTTTTTCCCAGCCCAGGGACATTACTCAGATTCTCATCAGTCTTTTCCATGAACACATTAAACATTTTAATGAAGAGGACTAATGACTGCATTCATCACATCATGCTCAGCAGGCTGACAGATTCATCTTTCATCAGTGGCTATGTGATCTCCTTCTCCCTCATTGTTTCCCCTGTCGTCTATGTGTTTTAGCACCAGTGGGGGGCGCTAGACACAAGCCCATCACAGAAAAGAAGCCCGGGAGAATCAGGGGAAAAGTTCACATCAGTGCTCGGGCTGAAGGCTTATGAGCGGGCAGGAAGATACTCAATAAAAATCAGCTGTGAGGTCTTTCAGAAAAGTCATGTTTCTGACCAGAAGATGAACTTGTGTCTAAAACAGGGTCAGCTAACCCCCCCACCCACTTGACATTGATCCTAAACAACAATAACCTGTGTGTCTTCAGGATGTTTGAGCTCACCTGCTCCCTCCCTTTGGAGAAGGACCTGCGGGTGATGCTGTACGACCACGACATGATCACCAAAGACGAGAAGATCGGAGAGACCACCATTGACCTGGAGAACCGCTTCCTGTCCAAATATGGAGCCCTGTGCGGCCTCCCACGGTCCTACTGTGTGTGAGTACACACCCCACTGCGCCTGGTAAACCGTCCAGCCCAGGAGACGCTCACCCTCCGTCAGGCAGAGGACCGAGCAAAGCTCAAGCCTGGAGACTTATTATGACTGTTGACCCTCGAGTTGTGCTCATCATTTTTAAAATTAATTACGGCCAAGTACCATGTTTTCACCCCACTTCCTCCTAACTGTGTGTTCCCCCCCCCCATCCCTATCAGGTCTGGGGTAAACCAGTGGCGAGACCAGCTGACCCCCAGGCAGCTGCTGTGCAGACTGTGTGAGCGGAGAAACCTGCAGAAACCCGTGTACGAAGATGACGCCGTTCGTTTCAGAGGACAGCGATACACGGTAGCAGACCTCGGTGAGAAGCAAAAGGTCATAAATCACCAATATAAATATTTCATACCTGTCTACAGGTGCAGAGATCCAGCTGAGAGTTACAGAAAACACTTGATCAGCAGCAGGTTTCACTGTCTGGATGAAAATGCACTTGAAAGAAACCAACAACTGTATCCACATCTGTATTTGTGCTCATGTCAGCTTTTTGTCTTTCATGTAACCCGGACCTCTAAAGTTCCCCCCATAGAGGCTGTCCATCTGCTGTAGATAGATTATTAGGTCGGACATGTCCTCCTCTGTCCTCCCCATCCGGTCAGAGTCAGGGAGCAGGACAAGAGAGAAAGTTGGTGAAAAATCAGCCAACGTCTAAAGAAAAAACAACTTTAAACAAAAGATCAGCAGGACAATTGAAAAGCTGACAAAGATCTGGTGAGATCTTCTAGCTAAACAAACAGAAGGTGGCCTCGGCCTGCTGCTTCTCCCCATGGTGAGGTCACTATCCAGGATTTATATGACCTCAGTGATGATTTATGAAGAATCGTGTACTGTTTGGACTAAAACCAGAACCTTTAACTGACCTGAGATCAGTTAGATGAGATCATCCTGCCGTTGTCACCTGCAGTTTCTCTATATTGTTAGTGTGAGTCCAGTTGAACGCATTTATTTATATTTTTTAAGTGTGAAAGCTCAGATGTATGTCTCACCCTGCACCCTGACCTGGATCTGCCTCTCTCCTCCTCACTTTCGTTCATTTTTCTTTTTCCTTACTTTGCGTCATCTCCTTGATTTTCTCCTTTGTTTTCTTCACTCATCCGCCCCCCCCCCCCACACACACACACACACACACACACACATTCTGTCTCCCACCAGCAAACAACTCTATTTTATTGTCTTTTCCACACTTGGCCAAGCTGACATTTTCTAATTTAAACTCTTTTTAAACGATTATTCTGGGGCTTTTTTTTACAATAATCCACTGAATAATGGACAGGATCTGAAAGTTGTGGCGGTAATTTATCCTGGAGCATTTATTACTGCATGGTGGAGCAGTCAGTAGCACCGTTGCGCATGGATGGTTGCTGGTTCGAATCCAGGCTGTTGCCTCTCTGCATGGAGTTAGTATGTTCACCCCATGCCTGCGTGGGTTTTCCAAGGCCACTCCGGTTTTTGTCCCTGGACTGGAGCCTTGTCCCGGCTTCTCACTGGAAGACTTCTGGACATTGAAGCCCTCTTAAGATGATGAGTTGAGTCCCAACGTTCACAAAACGTTTTTGAAGGAAAAAACCCTCCACCGTATAAACCTGGTACAGATAAACTGCAGACTTCCTGAGTTAAGAAGGTATGGGTGACTGTAGATGTATTCATGTTTGGACATTGTGGTGCGACGCAGACGCGTTCCCACACAGAAATTTCTCTGTGTTGCATTTTAAGCAGCAACACAAGCAGCCGTGTTCTAAACGAGAGGCTGCATCCTTGGAAGACCCAGCCAGCCTACATGGTCCATGATGGCTGGAGCCGGTGTTGCCATCACTTGGTATCGCCACATCAACCACAACGGCCGTCCTCTGTTGTTTGTCCACCATCACACTGTCTGGTTGGTTCACCATCACCATTTTGTCAGTCTGGATCTGGAAGTCCCACAGGAGCACGGCGCTCTCTTTCTCAACCACCTTAGGGGGTGTTTCCCACTTTGAAGGAGAAGAAAGTATCATTTCTGTAGCGCCTCTCAAGATAAAAATCTCGAGGCGCTTCACAAAAACAAAAAATGTAAAAATATAAAAAAACATTTAGAAAATGTTTAAAAATATATTTTAAATGAGCAAAAATAGACAATTGTGATTAAAAAATATAAAGAAAGAGAGAGAGTGAACAGGAAAGAGGGAAATCAGTGGATCCTGAGGAAGGTGGAATAGGTGGGGAGAGCAGAATAAAGAGAGAGAGGTGAAGAAGGTCATACAAAAGCCAGCTTGAACAAGTGAGTCTTCAGCTGCTTTTTGAAGGAGACCACTGAGTCCACTGATCTCAGGCTCAGGGGGAGAGAGATCAGGTTTCTTTGACCTTGGGGCTTCCAGTCCATACTCTGCAAAGAGGTTTCCCTGCCAGCCTCTTACACCCTGCAGTTGTGTGGTGGATTGGCTCAGGGACCTCTTTGCATGGCCTACACCTTGGGTCTTGTCTGCTGTGGTAGATCTTGGCCTCTGTTGCTCTGGTGTTCAGGGCCTGTTCCTGTGCAGCCATGATGAGTGCCTCTGTGCTGACCTTCAGACCAGCTCTTTCTAGCCATTGGTAGGATTTCTTGATGTCAGCCACTTCAGTAATCTGTCAATGGTACATCCCATGTAGGAGTTTGTCCTCCCATGATGGTACTTCCAGCAGCTCCGCCTCTGTTCGCCATTGTCTGAGACACCTAAATCACTGAAAGTACACAGCCAAAACAGACAGGCGAACCCCGTTTTCGTTTCCTCTCGCTCTGCCTTCATGTGGCAACTTTCTCTTTGCTTCATAAAAATCGTACATTTGTACTGATTTCAAAGTAAAGTTTAGTCCTCGGCCTCCTTCCTTACGGCTAGTGTACAGTCTCAGGGTGCTAGATTTGGGATGGGACCCTCCATGCATGGTTAGGAGCATCTGTATCTTAACATCTCAGGTCTTTATTTCTTCCTTTGGCCATTATTCCTGCAGGATATCTGATTACTGGCAGGGTGTAGCTGTATATACATCTATATATGAAAAATTATTGACATGATTTAATAGCTTTTTAAGGATAAATAACAGCAGTTTGGCCATTCCACACCCCCAGCAGGTCCCTGAGGTCCAGTGACCAAAGCCTACTGGTTGTGCAGCACCAGGCTAAAGACCAAAGGTGACAGATCATTTGCTGCTGTGGCCCCCAGACTCTGGACCTCTCTCCCCCTGAGCCTGAGATCAGTGGACTCAGTGGTCTCCTTTAAAAAGCAGCTGAAGTCTCACTTGTTCAAGCTGGCTTTTGTATGACCTTGTATGACCTTCTTCACCACTCTCTCTTTATTCTCTTTATTTATTTCTCTTTTTACTCTCTTTATTCTGTTCTCCCCACCTATTCACATACACATATGTTTAAATCTACCTACAACCTCTGATTTTATTGAAATGTTTCTCTCTGTTTTTTCTTCTTTGGGTTTTATTATTGTTTTATTGTATTTTATTACGTGTTTTGTGTAAAGTGACCTTGGGTGTCCTGAAAGGCGCTTTTAAATAAAATGTATTATTATTATTGTTATTATTATTATTATTCCACCTTCCTCAGGATCCACTGATTTCCCTCTTTCCTGTTCACTCTCTCTCTCTTTACATTTTGTAGTTACAAATGTCTATTTTTTGCTCATTTTAATATATTTTAAATCACTTTCTAAATAATTTTTTGTTTTTGTGACGCGGATCGTGATTTTTATCTTGAGAGGCGCAATAGGAAATATCTTCTTCTTCTTCTTCTTCTGCTCTCTTCTGCGCTGATCTCTAATCTGTCATTTACTCCCAACTCTATATTTCACCTTGTTTTCTTGCTCCTTCTGACCCTTTCTTTCACTTCTTCCACTCTATTTTCCCCTCCCGTCACTTATATGTTGAGGAGGAAACCACGGGACCACCTGAGGAGCAGAGCGATGAGATAAATATTCAAGATCCATTTTTGACCCTGGACACACACACACACACACACACACACACACACACACACACACACACACACACACACACACACACACACACACAAACCAAGGCCACACATATGTTCCACGGCTGCCACAACGATGCAAGGTCGTGGCTGTCGTTTTGGTGATTTATGGCACAGTCATGCGTGCGCACGTTTGCCAACAACAACATCGTGGTCATCTCCTGGTTAGCGAAGAGCGACGCCACCTTTTCTTTCCACTGTTGCCGCGGTTACTGTGCGTCAGCTTGATGCCCGTCAAACACGGTTGGTTCTTTGTTTCTGTTCCTTTTTCCTGTTTTATGTTTCCTCCATTCTTCTTGTATTCAGACTTCCTGAGCTCTTCCATCTGTCTTTTATTTGCCTTTTGCACTTCTGCATCTCCTTCACTCATCAGTGTTTTTTAACTTTCTTAATTTTAATATTTCCTTTTTCCCTAAAATACCTGTTTCTGTGTCATCTTCCTCTCCTCCCAACACTTTCTCTCTTCTGTTATCTCCTGTCGTCTCTTGCTTCCTCCTAGTTTCCTCGCCTCCTCTCCTCAGCTCGCTCTCTGTTCCTCCTCAGTCTTTCCATCTTTCCCTCTCTCTGATGACTCGGAGTTTACGGTCATAAACCCCTGACGTTAACCCAAACCCTTCAGATATTAATTTTTCTTGGGAGCGGCTCAGATTTTCCTTATTGGGTTGTGATACAGAGACCAACAAATGGCAAAGCGTGTTGGTGTGTGAATAATGAATTAGTCCTGAGTGACCCGTGATCCTCCCGGTTCAGCCCATAGTCCGGGTTTCCATTCTCCGCTCCGAGATCTTTTAACAGCCGTGTAAAGAGCACCACGGTCTTTGTTTAAACGCCACACTGTGTGTGTGTGTGTGTGTGTGTGTGTGTGTTTTCAGAGGATAAAAACATATCCAAGCGTTACCTCGGCCCAATGAAGGAGAGACTTTCTCTTCACATCTTGAGGAAAATGGGACTGGTACCCGAGCACTTAGAGACCAGACCTCTTTACAGCCCACTTCAGCCTGACATAGAGCAGGTGACACACACACACACACACACACACACACACACACACACACACACACACACACACACACACACACACACACACACACACACACACACACACACACACACACACACACACAGACACACACACACACACACAGACACACACACACACACAGACACGCGCACGCGCACGCACGCACACACACACACACACACACACACACACACACACACACACACACACACACACACACACACACACACACACACACACACACACACACACACACACACACACACACTTACATGGTCTGTCAAAGGTTTTCCTCCTCATTGCTGGTTTCCTTTTGTGTTCGGTAATTCACCTTCAGGGGCGTCTAACGATGTGGGTGGACCTCTTCCCTAAGTCTCTGGGACCACCTGGACCTCCATTTAACGTCACACCACGCAAGGCCAAGAAGTAGGAACACAGACACACGCACACACATTCATTCATCAAGATTACTGGAGACAGGAACATCTATTTCCTGCTCCAACACTTCAACCAGTGCTGTTGATTGGATGGTTAAAAGGTCGATCATTCAGCCCTTTCACTTTTCTTTTCTTTTCATTTCCTTGTCACGATGTAATTTAGAGTCTTAATTGTGCATTTTTTGGTTCACGAGTTGCTTCGAAATTCGTCCCACTTGTTTAGACTTCCTGGAGGAGCCAGCTTGTTCTCCCCACACGTGTGTGGGGTTTCTCCAGGTTCTCCAGACATGCAGGTTAGGTTGACTAGAAACTTGTCTATTCACCCGAGGCCTTTCCAAGGTGTCCCCTGTCTCTCACCAAGTGACTGGTGGAGAAAGACACCAGCTTCTCCGACCCTGAATGAATGACGAGTTTCAGGTGCCCACGAATGCCCGATCCCCACTTTGAAACAGCATTTATCTCACATAATCCTCGAACGTGTTCAGTAACACGAGAACGAGGGTTCTCAACTGTTTGAGACATTTTAGAATCTCCAGGTGAGATTTAGAGACTAACTTTCCCACATGATGGTGCGTGCTGTTCAAAGTCCGGGTGCAATCAGCGTCCTCCACGCCACACCTGAACCCGTCTCCTACTCACATCGAGTATTATCCAACAGCAGCCTCAACAATAAAAAAAAATAAAAAGGAGTTTTAACCAAATTCAGCAAAGATCAGTTCATTTAATCCCTTCGTTCTTCAGGTTCTTCTTGCGTTGCATCATCTGGAACACCAGTGATGTCATCCTAGATGACGTCAGCATCAGCGGGGAGAAGATGAGCGACATCTATGTGAAAGGGTGAGAGGGGAAAATGATTTCTGTCCTCCCTCGTTCTGCCACCTGTTTACTGAAGCTCAAACCGTTTTTCTCAGCTGGCTTGATGGACACGAGCACCACAAGCAGAAGACGGACGTCCACTACCGCTCTCTGGGTGGCGAGGGGAACTTTAACTACAGATTCCTGTTTCCTTTCCACTATTTACCCGCAGAGCAGCTGTGTGTTGTTGACAAAAAGGTAAAGACACGTTACACACATTTCTCAAAAACGAAACCATTGGAATATGGTAAAAGACAGCAAAACGCTACCAGTTTAAACGTTTGATACATCAGCAGTTCTGGCTCTGAACGCTGAGTCAGGCACTTGTGAGGTGAGGTCCTCTCTGCAGGCCTCCTTCCCTCTAACTGATCCTCCGAGGCCGGCAATTAACAAAAATAATGATGTGACATTTCCACAAGAAGGAGTGGATGCTTCTGAATCTCAGAGACTCAACAAAAACATGCAGCGAGGAGCTAAAACAACACTGCTCTGAAAACTGGAATAACAACTCGCCTGTCATTTGCTTTCCTTGGCTGCGGGCCGAGCCTCTTTAGCCGCTCGCGGCCGACATGTTTTACGACGGCGTTCGCTCGCTCGCACCAGCATCTTTAATCAGCGAGCAGCTGAAAAGACAAGAGGGAGTTTTAAATGAAAAACTCTGCTGGGTGGAGAGCTTTGACTCAGAAACTAAGCAGGAGCCAGAAATAGAGTTTATGAAGCCAGAAACCTCACACAGGCTGATGAACGGACCATCAGCACTCTGAAACTGGGAGGTGCAGCAGCTTGATCGGGTCATCAAGGGTTGATTATAAACCTAAAAATCTACACTATGTAACTGGAGTTTTATTGTAATTCATTCTTGATGTAGTAATTGTTTATGAATGTATTTATTGACAATTCCTTCCAGAAGAACATAGCTGGATTAGATTTAAGGCAACTAGATTTCTTTTAGTTTCATTGAATATCAGCAGTGGCTCAGGAGGTGAAGCTGACTGTCCAACAATCAGAAGGTTGCAGGTTCGATCCCGGCTCCCTCCACAGAATGCTGCTGTCGTGTCCTTGGGCAAGACACTTAGCCCACCTTGCCTGCTGGGGGTGGTCGGAGGGACCGGTGGCACCTGTGTACGGCTGGCCTCGCCTCTGTCAGTGCACCCCAGGGCAGCTGTGGCTACATCTAGCTCATCCCCACCAGAGTGTGAATGGGTGAATGAGGATTGTGTTGTAAAGCGCCTTGGGGGGGTTGAAGAACTCAAGAAGGCGCAATATCAAATAAAGGCCATTAACTGTTGAATAACAAAAGATGATTTCTGGTCCCAGTTTTCAGAAAGAGCAACAGGAAAGTTTTATCTTCTTGATTTATCTGGGATGACTTTTCTCAACCGTCCCTAGAAAGTCTGCTCTATAGGCCTTTTTCCATTTGCACCAACTCAACTCGATTCAGCATCGTTGGCTTTTCCTTTGGTAACGAACACGTAATCTTTTTTATGACCAACTTCAATGGGGTTCCAATTGTATTTGAAAACTCTACGTCAGAGACTTTGGGTTACTGATTGAGGTGGAGTCACCTCGCTTCCCGCAATCTTCCCAGGGCTGAAATCTGCAGACCGAGCAGAATGTTTAACAACATCTTCTCAACTGTTGCGTTGGGTTCACCTCGCCGTACTTTTCGAAATCTGGGGGCCACCCTGCTTTAATGAGCCCACCCACTAGAGCAGTTTCTCATTTGTAATGGAAACCCCCCAAACCATAGGGTACAGCTGAGCCGAGCCATGCTGAGTACACTGGTGGTTGGAAAGGAGGCTCTGGCCGATTGTTGAACCTCAGATTCAGAGCACTGTGGCTTTTGTCCTGGCAATAGGTCAGATCTGGCCATGTTAATCAGTTGGAGTTTGGTTGTCCAGTTCACACGTGTTTTATGGATTTTTAAAAAGATTACAACCATGAGGTATTCTGAAGAGGTACTGGTGAGGGCGGTTCGGTTCCTGTACAACAAAGGCAAGAACTCTATAAATGACACCAAGTGGAGCTCATTCCTAGTGTGGGTTGGCCTCCACCAGGCAAGGCCCTTGTTTTGATCCTTTCTGTGGTGTTCATGAACAGGATCTCAAGTCTTAGTCATGGATTAGGCTCTTATGTCTGTGTTTTGCCGATGATGTGGTTCTGATCAAGCCACGACCATAAGCATGGACTAGGGTGGTTAACAGCTAAATGTAAGCAGCCAGGATAAGAGTCAGCTTCTCCAAATTTGAGGCCACAGTTCCCAACAGCAAAAAGAGCAAAGATTCCTCCAGTTGCTGCCTCAAGTGGAGTTTTAAGTGTCTCATTCATAAATTGTGGTTGGATGGAGAGAGAGGCTCTTCTCTAGTGAGGGTTGGTCCATCCTGACAAAAAATGAGCTAAGTCAAAGGGTGAAGCTCTCTCTCTTTCTGTTTCACTACACTGAGGCCATTCAAAGATCTACCTTTCTATAGTATCTACAGTGTTTACGGTATCTACATTGTCTACAGTATCAATACAGTATCTACGGTATCTACGGTATGATCTATTACAGCGGTTCCCAAACTTATTTAGCTGCGCACCCCCTTCTATGTCCCGACCATGTCGACCCCCCCCCCGCATCAGGGCATGGCTATATACATATATATATATTATATATATATATATGTATATGTATATATATGTATATATATATATATATATATATATATATATATATATATATATATATATATATATACATATATATATATACATATATATATACATATATATATATATATATATATATATATGTATATATATATATATATATATATATATATATATATATATACATATATATATATATATATACATATATATATATATATATATATATATATACATATATATCAATATGAGACGTCAAGCTAAACAGACAGGGTTAAAAAGATATGATCGACCTTTTTCCCCATCACTTTCATTTTTTTAAATAGTAATTAATAAACATTCGATACCATTAAAATTTCTTTTGATTTCATTTTAAATAAATATTTAGAGTGCCCAGGTAGCACATAAACAATGCAATTTAACGGTTTTCTTAAAGTAGAAACGTTTAACCTGTGTGTGTAGAGCGCTCTCCTTCCTTCTGCTCTGCGTAAACCTGAGCTGATCACCTACTTGTGCGTAATCAAATACGGGAAAAGATGGAAAAGCCATGAGGTTCACTTTTGCCTCAGACCGACTTATTGCTGTTTTGGTGTGGCTGAATCTGCGATCCGCTGCCACGCGGACTAACAAATGCTGCAGTAACAGGACTTGTGGTCAGGTTCATGAGGAGTCACTGGCTGGAGTGGACCCGACTTTAATACATCATCCCAAAATAGAAGCTAATATCTTAATTTGACCTTGAATGAAAAATCTCGTCTCGTCTCGTCGTCTCGTCTTCCTCCGCTTATCCGGGTCCGGGTCGCGGGGGCAGCATCCCAACTAGGGAGCTCCAGGCCGTCCTCTCCCCGGCCTTGTCCACCAGCTCCTCCGGCAGGACCCCAAGGCGTTCCCGGACCAGATTGGAGATGTAACCTCTCCAACGTGTCCTGGGTCGACCCGGGGGCCTTCTGCCGGCAGGACATGCCCGAAACACCTCCCCGGGGAGGCGTCCAGGAGGCATCCTGACCAGATGCCCAAACCACCTCAACTGGCTCCTTTCGATCCGGAGGAGCAGCGGTTCTACTCCGAGTCCCTCCCGAATGTCCGAGCTCCTCACCCTATCTCTAAGGCTGAGCCCGGCCACCCTACGGAGGAAACTCATTTCGGCCGCTTGTATCCGCGATCTCGTTCTTTCGGTCATTACCCAAAGCTCATGACCATAGGTGAGGATTGGGACGTAGATCGACCGGTAAATCGAGAGCCTGGCTTTCTGGCTCAGCTCCCTCTTCCCCACGACAGATCGGCTCAGCGTCCGCATCACTGCAGACGCCGAACCAATCCGCCTGTCGATCTCCCGATCCCTCCTACCCTCACTCGTGAACAAGACCCCGAGATACTTAAACTCCTCCACTTGAGGTAGGACCTCTCCCCCGACCCGGAGGTGGCAAGCCACCCTTTTCCGGTCGAGAACCATGGTCTCAGATTTGGAGGTGCTGATCCTCATCCCAGCCGCTTCACATTCGGCCGCGAACCTACCCAGCAAGAGCTGAAGGTCAGAGCTGGATGAAGCTAGGAGGACCACATCATCCGCAAAAAGCAGAGACGAGATTCTCCTGCCACCAAACTCGACACACTCCACACCACGGCTGCGTCTAGAAATTCTGTCCATAAAAGTGATGAACAGAACCGGTGACAAAGGGCAGCCCTGGCGGAGTCCAACCCTCACTGGGAACAGGTCCGACTTACTACCGGCTATGCGGACCAAACTCACGCTCCTCTGGTAAAGGGACTGAATGGCCCTTAACAGAAAGCCACCCACCCCATACTCCTGGAGCGTCCCCCACAGGGTGCCCCTGGGGACACGGTCATAAGCCTTCTCCAAATCCACAAAGCACATGTGGATTGGTTGGGCAAACTCCCATGCCCCCTCCATCACCCTTGCAAGGGTATAGAGCTGGTCCACAGTTCCACGGCCAGGACGAAAACCACATTGCTCCTCCTCTATCTGAGATTCAACTATCGATCGGACCCTCCTCTCCAGTACCTTGGAGTAGACCTTTCCAGGGAGGCTGAGGAGTGTGATCCCCCTATAGTTGGAACACACCCTCAGGTCACCCTTCTTAAAGATGGGGACCACCACCCCGGTCTGCCACTCCCTAGGAACTGCCCCCGATGACCACGCAATGTTGTAGAGACGTGTCAACCATGACAGCCCTACAACATCCATAGCCTTGAGATACCCAGGACAAACCTCATCCGCCCCCGGGGCTCCGCCGCTGTGTAGTTGTTTGACTACCTCAGCAACTTCTGCCCCCGAGATCGGACAGTCCATCCCCAGGCCTCCCAGCTCTGGTTCCTCCTCGGAATGCGCATTGGTGGGATTGAGGAGCTCCTCAAAATATTCCTTCCACCGTCCGACTATAGCCCCAGTTGACGTCAGCAGCTCCCCATCCCCACTGTAAACAGTGTGAGCGAGTTGCTGCCTTCCTCTCCTGAGGCGCCGGACAGTTTGCCAGAACCTCTTTGGAGCCGATCGATAGTCTTTCTCCATGGCCTCACCAAACTCCTCCCACGCCCGAGATTTTGCCTCGGCAACTGCCACTGCTGCACCCCGCTTGGCTATCCGGTACCTGTCTGCTGCCTCCGGAGACCCACAGACCAGCCACGCCCTGTAGGCCTCCTTCTTCAGCCTGACGGCTCCCCGAACCTCTGGTGTCCACCAGCGGGTACGGGGGTTGCCACCACGACTGGCACCGGCCACCTTACGACCACAGCTAGCAACAGCCGCCTCGACAATCGCAGAGTGGAACAAGGCCAACTCGGACTCAATGTCCCCCACTGCTCTCGGGACGTGGTCAAAGCTCTGCCGGAGGTGGGAGTTGAAGACCGTCTTGACAGGTTCTTCTGCCAGGCGTTCCCAGCAGACCCTCACTATGCGTTTGGGTCTGCCAGGTCTACGCGGCATGTTCCCTTGCCATCTGATCCAACTCACCACCAGGTGGTGATCAGTTGACAGCTCCGCCCCTCTCTTCACTCGGGTGTCCAAAACATACGGCCGCAGGTCAGATGATACGACTACAAAATCTTTCATCGACCTGTGACCTAGGCTGCCCTGGTACCAAGTGTACCGGTGGGCATCCTTATGTTCGAACATGGTGTTCGTTATGGCCAAACTGCGGCTTGCACAGAAGTCCAATAACAAAACACCGCTCGAGTTCTGATCAGGTGGGCCGTTCCTCCCAATCACACCCCTCCAGGTCAAGCTGTCATTGCCCACGTGAGCATTGAAGTCCCCCAGCAGGACAATGGAGTCCCCTTGAACCGTCACCTTATCGTGGTGGAGGAGTTTGAGTGCCCTAATGATCCTAGGAGCTATGTTGTCTGGGGCACTTGGTGCCCCTGGTAGGGTCTCCCATGACAAATTGGTCTTAGGTGAAGGGTGAGACAAAGAACGGTTCGAAGGATCTTTCATGGCGGTTAAAACGAAGAGTCGGAGTACCCGGCCCGGAGGGTTACCGGGGTCCCACCCTGGAGCCAGGCCTGGGGTTGGGGCCCGTGAGCGAGCGCCTGGTGGCCGGGCTTTCGCCCATGGGGCCCGGCCGGGCCCAGCCCGAACCGGATACATGGGCTCGTCCAACTGTGGACCCACCACCCGCAGGAGGAACATGAAGGGTCCGGTGCAATGCGAATCGGGTGGCAGACCAAGGCGGGAGCCTTGGCGGTCCAATCCCCGGACAAGAAAACTAGTTTTTGGGACATGGAACGTCACCTCGCTGGCGGGGAAGGAGCCGGAGCTTGTGGCAGAGGTTGAGCGGTACCGGCTAGATATAGTCGGACTCACCTCGACACATTGCATTGGCTCTGGAACCCGAGACCTGGAGAGGGGTTGGACACTCTACTTTGCTGGAGTTGCTCCGGGTGAGAGGCGGAGGGCTGGGGTTGGCTTTTTGTTAGCCCCGAGACTCTCTGCCTGTGTGTTGGGGTTTACCCCGGGGGACAAGAGGGTAGCTTCCTTGCGCCTTCGGGTCGGGGAACGGGTCCTGACTGTTGTTTGTGCTTATGGGCCAAATATCAGTTCAGAGTACCCACCCTTTTTGGAGTCCCTGGGACGAGTGCTAGATAGTGAATGAAAAATGTTGTTATAAAACCTCTTAATAGTTTTTATCATGGAGGAGGCAGCGCTAATTTCTGCCTTCAGTCTGACGGCGCGCTGGAGTTAAAGCAGCGTGCGCGCTTATTGAATCTGTGTGTGTGTGTGTGTGTGTGTGTGTGCGCGCGCGCGGCACAGCTCCATGAGCCGCTCAAGTCACCGCGTCTCGTTATTGGCGCTATTTAAACTAATGAGACAGGGTGTTAATTACAATCTGCCAGAATGACTCGCCACCTTCAGATTTCTCCAACACCGTTAAAAATGATCAAATACGGAACACATCGGCGTGCGCAGGCCAGAGTGCTGAAGCTCGGCGCATTGTTATGAAGCTATAGGGCACATGTGGAGGACACACACACACGCGCGCGCGCAAAAATATACTTGTTTTCAATTACATTTATTGTGCCCACTTACCTTTTCTTTGGCCCACCCACAAATGAGTTTCTGGCTACGCTAATGGTGACATTTGACAGACTTCTCTGAGCTCCGCAGCCATTACACTTTTCACCTCGCGCACCCCCTAGCGGCAGCTCGCGCACCCCCGGGGGTGCACGCACCACACTTTGGGAATCCCTGATCTATTAGAAAACACATGACCTATCACTTTTAGCTGTTCTGGGCCTTTAGGATCCTTTGGTCTTTATCACACGTCACCGAGACACTTTCTCTTAGCAACAGCCCAACATTAGAAACATTTAACATTTCACACCACATCTCCCTCACTTTCTGAACATAACCCTGATTTATCATCAGAAATTATTGTATTTGTCATTGTGGGAGGTTGCTAAGTGCTGCCTTTTGTTTATGGAAACTCTTCTTGCTGAATGTATTTAGGACCGGTGACGTACTGACATTCACTACAAATCACTGGAGACTTATTTAAAATCATGTGTGAAAACTCATATTTTATATCAACATGACAAAAGCCAAAGTGTGTCACACGCAGATAAAAACAAACGGAGGGAATGGAAAGCCATGCAGAGGAAACTTGGTGAAGCAAATTAGCACAAACATGAGACGGGCTCAGATTCTGTCTGGCAGTTTGGTGTGACTATACCGGAGGTGATAATCGCTATAATACACTCCCTGATGTGTGTGTTCACACAGATGGTGTGTACATGTCGATACAGAGTGGACGTGTTGATGCAGCACTGCTCTGACCTGAGAGACTCAACTTATTTAAGCTAGAGGAAAAGAAAGCCAACAACATGTGGTTAAGTTATACAACAACAAATGTCTTCTTTTATTTAATATATTAGTTATTTAGCACAAATATAGTTTTTCTTTAAATTTGAGCCTTTCTCTGACCAGGAATACAGACTGAAATAAAACATACCATCTGACTTTATTAGAAATGAATTACTCGCCGTTCCTAGACCGATAATGTTTCCACACAAAAGCTTGAGGATATGAATCATTGCTATGAGACATAGCCCAACCTTAGACATTTGTAAAGATTGCTGATTGGTCTCTATTTACTCTGGTGAGAAGGCAAGCCATAAAAAGGTCCTGTCATGTTATATGTTACACAATATTGATGGAGTACTCAGAATGTCGATCTTAAAATCACTCCTCTGCACTAGGCTTGAGCGGTATCCAAATTTTGATGTAGTCTAGTTTCCTCCACATTTTACCGAGGTGTACGCTATTACCGGGACTAATTTAAAAATAATGACGTACGCCTCAAGAGAATGATCAACTATTAACTGTTGGTTTGGACCGTCACCGTTCAGAAACTGAATAAAAAAACTATTACTAAAACAATAACAACATATCACAAATAATAATAAGAACTTTAAAAAAATGCAAGAATGTTTATCTTTACCGGCTTCAACCTCCAACTGCTGAAAACCCGCTTCGATGAGCCTGTGACAGTCAGACACCCGATTACTTTGAGGCTGGTCATGACATCTGGGGAAGGGTGGCAGCTTATTTTCCACCAGAAAAGTACGTTGTTGTCTCTTTTATTAACAGGCTCCAGACAGAAGTCTGCTGTTTCAGCTACGGCTCACTCCTCTGCTGTGCCGACGGGGCGTGCGTCTTTCGGGATCCTCTTTTGTTTTCACTAGTTACCTCATCAGTGTTTACCAGCTCTCCTTCTAAGTTTGCTCCTAAACATCAGAAGTTGTGTTTAGACAGGTCAGCTAGTGCGTGAGCTGCCATTTTCCTCTTGGTGCACTGTCACTGTGATGACATCACGGTTCTGGTCCCTAGAGCCTTACATGGACAAGCACCATCATACACTGGTGATCTTCTTAGTCCCTACACCCCCAGCAGGTCCCTGAGGTCCAGTGACCAAAGCCTACTGGTTGTTCAGCGCAACAGGCTAAAGACCAAAGGTGACAGATCATTTGCTGCTGTGGACCCCAGACTCTGGAACTCTCTCCTCCTGAGCCTGAGATCAGTGGACTCAGTGGTCTCCTTTAAAAAGCAGCTGAAAACTCACTTGTTCAGGCTGGTTCCGAGGATCCTGGCTCAGTATATACAACATATATACCAAGTAGTGTTTCTATGGTTACATTGTGATTTCTCAGTAAATATTCTATTTGGTGAGAGATAAACTTTATTGTATTTATCCTTGTGAATCTTTAATTAAACGGGTAAACTAGTAGTAGCACATTCAGCGTCAAGGAAAGTTAATGTTATTCTCAGGAGAGGGAGAATGTTTAAGTGGTTAGCAGCAGGGTTCAAGCCAATGGCCCCCTCCATGAGGCCACCACAGCTCAGCAGAACATCGTTGTAGCTTCTTCTGGGGAGAAAAACACTTAAAAAATAAATTTAACAGCTGAAATTGCAGAAAATAATTCAATTAAAGAGCAGACTGTAGAAGAAAGCAGCAGAGTGTGAAAAGTGGTCAGTGTATCCTCCAGCAGTCTAAGCCTATAGCAGCATAACTACAGAGATAACTCTGGATAACCTAGCCTTTTAGATGGAGGCATGTTGGAGGCAGGGCAAGGGAGAGCCGTCTTTACCGACTGTACACTCCACCTCCCTCTACTCCCCCACTTGTCCAGATCTAGGCTAACATCAGCTTTTAACCATAGGACCTATCAAATAAAAATGTTTTAAGCCTAGTCTTAAGTCTAGTTACAAAAAAACACCGAAAGATAATTTTGACATGTTTGAACAGGATTCTGAATACAACTTAAAATAAAAAAATACATTAAAAAACATTTCTTTCTTTCTGCATTTTTACAGGAACACTTCTGGAGTTTGGATAAATCCGAGACCAAACTGGTGCCCAAACTGACCATTCAGATCTGGGACAACGACAAGTTCTCCTTTGACGACTACCTCGGTAAATCAAAACATCAGTGACAGCGCAGCATGATTTGTTGAATGTTTTTTATTATCACTTTTTTATTTTTTGGTTTAAGTTTAACATTGATACTCTCATCCATAATGTACAGATCCTAGAAAGTGTCATGGGTGGATAAATAAAAATTAAAAGTCGTGAGTAGACATTGTCTTGATTAACTCTAGGTAATAATATCCTGTCTGTGTTTCTGAGGTTTTTATTTTGAAACCTAAAATAATAACTTACAACAGATCATTTTATAATCTAGGTTTTCCCTAAATTGTGTGATTACATGTTTTGGGTATTTTTCTTTCTACCTGTTGAAGTGAAACTAATTAATGGCCGACAGATACTTAAGTCATTCTGGCTCTGACACATAGACATATTTTCCTCCTTTCTTGGCAACGATTAGGGTGTAAACCTAGCCCAGAGACCACATGTGCGACGTACGAACAACTACTGTGATAACATTTATCTTTAGAATTAGCACTCTTTCATTTCCACTGCGTCGGCACATTTCACCAAGAGGAGGGACAGGTTTTACTTTGTTATCCCGAAACTCAAGCTGTCATAATTTTGCCTTTCCTTCACCCCTGACTTTGCCCCAACCCCGTCCCTTGGAATAACTCATCACCGTGTCTCGGGTCGGGTTTGCCTGCGAGGGGAGGACGGCGGTTTGCGGGCTTCGGTGTCCCTCTGCGGTGGGATGCCATGAAGAAGATGAGGAATCCAGATTCTGACCTGTTCCTGTCTGTCACCGTCTCGCCTCGCTGCAGCCTTTTCTCTCCATCAGGTTTTCGCCTCACACCGGCTGTGGGTGTGTGGCCACCTCAAAGCATTTTTTCCATGCCTGCCTGTCGTCAGCTCGTCGGCTCGGACCGCTGACTGTTAATCTTCCTGCACGGTGTGAGGGTCAGACACGAGCCATTTTCCTACAGCCAAACTACATTTAACTCTGGAAAAGCACTCGGAGCTGAGGTCTAGTCTTCCTGCGGCCTTTCATACTTAGTGTCAACAAAGATCAAGACTTCCCTAACCGACCTTCATTGCAGGATCCTCCATAATTCACCCAGATATGGCTCAGTAATTAGTCTGCACACACCGAGGTGCCAATGAATGCTGATTCAGCTGGATTTTGTAGCCAAGCTCCCAAGTGTCCAATCTTTTCAAGCTGACATGAAGATTTACTTTCACTCAAAACAAATTTATTGGATTACAACTACAACATTTTTCATTTAATGACTACTTTATACCTGAGTCAGTTATGGTTAGGAATCAGAGCCAAAAATACCAAACTGAACAATAATTTCATTTCATTAATCTAATTTTTGCAATAAAAAGTGAAGTTCTTCGCTGAAATTATGAAGATAAACAGATGTTATTATAATTTATGGGATAGAACAATGTGACCAACTAGTACTATGAATATTAAGATGTAAAGTGGTGTGATTTTACCCATTTGACCTGATGGTCCAAGTCAATATTAGTTTTTTATTTTTAATTATTTTTAACTCAAATTTGTAATCTCATCTGTTAATGAAATGTTATAATTTTATGCCTTAATTATTTCTGATGTTAATCAATTTTATTATGATTTAGTCACTTTTTTGTTGTTGTTTTGATCTATGTGAAGCACTTTGTGTGCTATATAAATACAATTGACTTACTTACTTTTTTTTATTTATGCACAGAAATAAGCTTATAAAACAAAATTGGTTGTGTTAGAATAAAAAAGCTGTCATTTGTATAATTACATTTACATTACATGAAAACTCAACGCTCTACATGAAAAGAAAGCAGGGTTTTTGCTTGCTGCTCCTCTGGCTCTTGGAGGGTGCAGACGCTTCTTTTCCTCCTCTCCTCCATATCTTATCCTCAAGACCTTTGTCTGTCTCTGGATGCTGGGTGCACGGCTGCTTCTGCATTTTTCTGGAAATTGAAATACATTTAAATGGATCTTGTTAGCTGGTCTCTCAACGCGATTGGTTAAATTTTTTCATCGATGAGAACGGGAGAAGGGGCTCCCGGATGCCCTGCCGGGACAGACCCAGTTGGATACATCTTGGACTCTTGGAAACAGTGGAACTTGATTTGTCTATCTCAGCTGTCTGTGGAGGACTCTGAAGACGTGTGGATATTCGTGGTGTTGGTGTCAGGTTTCCTGCTCATTGGCCTTGGAGGCTACCTGGCTTACCGGAAAATTAACCAGCTGTCGAGGAATGTTGGCCTGATCCCGGAGCTCAGAGATGGTTTGCACCATGCTGTAAATTCACAGACTCAAATAATTGTCGAGATGAATCGTAAGCTTGGGACTTTGGCGGAGATTCATTCTTTGGCACAAAAGATGGATGCCATCAAGGAGAGAGTGGACGAATCAGCACAAATTGGGATAGATTAATGTCCATTATTGGGAATCGGAGAGGTGAGGACCAGCAGACTGTAAGACAGAGAGGAAATTATCTCTGTCTGGCCTCAAAACAATTTCTAATTGGAATCTGGCATCCTTGAGCCTGCAAGGCTCCAACGAAAACTCCCCCCTCAGAAGATATGTGGAATATGCCGTCGCTATGGCAACTCAACTCTGTCTCCTATCCCAGCCTGGGCAGGACTGCGGGAAGGCTGCTGAAACGTTCCAGGGTCACTGCAACCCTCCAACCCTAAATGCTCCCCCCCCTATCCACACAGAGGTGACATGCACTGCTTCTTCGTGGCTGCAGGAACTGAAGCTGGGATAGTCCCAACCTACCACCCCACCTAGTGGACACTTATGTTGTGTTGTCTGAAGTCTGTTGCATATCTCTGTTTGAGGTGTTTTTTTGTTTTTTTTTGCAAAGCAAAGCTGCCCTCCAGCTGGAGAGTAGCTCTGAAGTGCCTTTTTTCCCTCCACCTGAACCAATCCTCATGTTACCCTCTTGTCTCTATTAAGGTAGCGCGACTCAGGGTTGCGAATGACCACAGTCACCAGTTCTTGTCATGTGTCTTGCCCATGTATGTCTGATCTCTGAATTGTGTGTACTGAAACTCTAATTTCCCTCTGGGATTAATAAAGTATATTTGATTTGATTGATTTGATTGAAAGGCTTAAAAATGTAGACGTTACTTCACTTACTCTCATGAACTCTCTTTAAATGTGCCCTCAGGCCACCTGGTGATGGACCTAAACCACATGCTGCGTCCTGCCAAGTCCCCAGAGAAATGCACCCTGCAGCTTTTGGACCAGCCAGCAGACAAACTGGTGTCTCTGTTTGAGCAGAAGACGGTCAAAGGGTGGTGGCCCTGCGCCTGCGACCAAAACGGAGAGAAGATCGTCGCTGTAAGAATGCAGATTCAAACGTTTCTTCTGTTGTTCATCTGCAGATGTGGAAACAACACATTTAGAAATCCAAAACACACATTTTGGAGGCTTACGAAGATGAGTCATAAGTGTCTGTGCTTCAGGGGAAGGTGGAGATGTCCCTAGAGATCGTGACGGAGCAAGAGCAAGAGGAGAGACCAGCTGGACTTGGCAGAGATGAGCCCAACATGAACCCTCACCTGGAGGAACCCCAGTGAGTCAAACAAATGCTACCCTGTTCACAGGTGCTGCCATGTTGGGTCTGAAAGTCTCGCCTTTCCCCTCAAACAGGGTTTGAGGACACATTAAGAGTGTTCTTCAAATCTGGACAGCCTTGTCACTTCATTGTGACATAGTTGGCCTTAAATGTGTCTTTGGAAGGATGCAGCCCCTGAACTTGGACACAGTAAATCATGGTGGGGCTTTGGGGGCTTAGGAGAACTAATTCAAGTTTTGGGTGTTTGAGAAAAAAAACATACTGCAACAAGGTTAGATCAATGTGAATCAACAGGAGTCAACGAGTGAGGAGAATGTCCCATTTATTTACACGGAGGGATGAAGATGTCTTCTGCTGCCAGCCACTAGGAGGCGCTCGTGTTGCTGATGTCTTTCACCCAAACACTAAAACAAGCATCCTCTTCCTGTCCCCCTTCCAGGCGTCCAGAGACATCCTTCCTGTGGTTCTCCTCCCCCTTTAAGACCCTCAAATTCATCGTCTGGAGGCGATTTAAGTGGCTTATCATCCTCTTCATCATCCTCTTCTTCATCCTTCTCTTCCTCGGGGTCTTCCTCTACTCCTTCCCTGTAAGTCTGGGTGAATCAGAGCACTGGATGAACGTCAGAGCGAACTGAACAGAACAGGAAGTAACCTGCTTTCTTTATTTTCACAGAATTACGCTGCCATGAAGATGGTTGGACCGTTTGGACAGGCCAAGTCCAAAGACTGATGACAAAGATGAAGGAGACAATTAGTCCCATTTGATTTCAGAAAGTGACATGAACTTAATTTTTTTCTCTTCTTGGGCCTTCTTTGTCATCGTGCTGCAGCTGTTTGTGCCTTCTACTCTAGAGTCACCAACTCTGAACCGCCGCTGAGAAAACAGATCACATGTGCCGTCTTCTGTCCTTTGTTCAGAGAGGTCAAAAACACGTCGCTGAGCTTCAGAATGATAAAAAACATTTACAGATTGTCAATTCTGATCGTTTTACCGCCAGATTAAAAATCTCAAACTTTATATCTGCAAAAGTTCAAACTGATGAAAACGGGGAGGTGGTTCTTCAGTTATCCTTCTGAAGTGAACATTTATCATTAGCGTTCTGCAAAGTGAAACATTTTATGGTTCTTTAGATCTGCTGACATGATGCCTTCAGGTATGATGGGAATTCTCAGTAATTACCTGTTAAACACTTTACCCCTGCCTCCTTCTAATGTTATTCTTTGTTTTTAAGTAAAAAAAATCATCACCATCACTCTTCTACACTAAAAAACACACTGTTAGTATTACATTAATAATGTTGGCTTGGTTATTTTACCACTTTGGGGCAAATCCACCCAGCCATATATGAAAATTAAAAGGAGAAGTATATATTTTTCAGTAATTCAACTTAAAAAGTAAAGCTAATCTATGAGACAGACTTGTTCCATGCAAAGCCAGATATTACTAGCCTTTATTTGTTATAATTGTGATGATTATGACTTACAACTTATGAAAACCCCACATTCAAAATCTCAGAGTCAGAATATTGTGTAAAGGTTCAATTTTCTAGACTGACAGTGTCACACTCTGGCCAGCTAATGAATCCAAAACCCTGCAAAGGGTTTCTGAGCCTTTAGATGGTCTTTCAGTCTAAGTTGAATCACTTACATAAATAAACATTGGCACCACTTTCTAGTTCTACCCGCACTTCGGGAGTTAAACAATGCTGAAATGAAATCAACTTACATTTAACAGCTAAATAATTTTTCGGTCAGATTAATTCAGATCTTATTGTGAAGCTAATTCAGTATAATGTGTTTAACATGAATCCTGAATTTAAATTTAAGTTTTTGTTGCAGGTGTGGACAAATGCAATCTGTGATGAAATATGTGTAGATTTTGGTTTTAGTGGAATTTGAACAAGTTTAATTACAAACAGTATAGTTATTTTACAAAAATCATTCAAATCTACTTTAATGAGTGTTTTGAAGGCACCAGATATTTTAAAGAAAATATATTTGTTTTGATCTCAATTGTGATATGTGTGCGTTTATTTAGGGAGTTTTGATTTGCTTGAGGTTTGTGTTTATTTTTAACTGCTTGTATATCAGAAAAGGGCCTTAAAAAGCTGCTTTTACACAAACCGCTGAATTCAGACAATCTTGTTACCACTGTGAGTTCTAAAAAGCATTTGCTGTTAAAATCAGTTCTGCTTTTGCCTGATTTTATTCCTGTCAGTGAATGCAACGTGCCTTCAGAATGAAGCTTTGCTGACCAACGCACCAGAACATTAACATTTGCCTTAATGTGAAAAAACTGTAAAAAAAAATTAAAACAAATAAAACATCATGCAGGAGAATAGAGCCATTTTAGCTTTCTGAGGGCCCTATGCATCATGCTGTTCCGGGGCCCCTATCTTGCCAAACTACATTTTAACCACCATACTTTAGATTTTACATAAACACACCACATATTCAACAGAATCCGTCTTTTTGAGTTATATTATTGTTTGAAATTGTGTCTGTCAGTATTAATATAGTAAACAAATCTTTATAATGTGCAGTAATATTTGTAAGCATGACAGGAAATGGCATCATACAATCAAAACAATAAAATGTGAAAAACTAAAGGTAAGAACTGTTTTCAAGTGTATGTATTAGTTTTCCCTGACAATATTGTACTAAGGTGGGCTGCTTGATCATTTTTCTAGACCGCCTGAATGTTTTTTTCCTCATTAAAAAACCCGCTAGAACACCAAACGCTGATCACGTCGGCCACAGCAGCGCCACAAGAACATTATCCCGAACAGAGTCGCTACTCGGGTCAGCTCCAGCCATCCCTACCTCCCCCCTCCTTCATTGCGCTACCTACCACTGTAACACCAAGCAAATAGTTTTTAGATGATCGTATCTAACGTTTTTTTTTACTAGCCATGGACCATTTCTCTTTTAAAACATAAACCTTTATCGGCATAAACCTCCTGTTAGCGGTAGCTTGTTCAAACAGTGGCCATATCGGACTCTGATTGGTTTTTTCTCGTGTAGTCCTGCCTGTTTCATTTTCTGATAGTTGTCCCTTCCTATCTTTTTTCTGATTGGATTTTTATTTCTGTCAATTTCTGTTATCTCTTATTCGTCAACGAAAATGTTGGTCAGTTGTTGTCACAAATTTGTCTTTAGTGGCGAGTATTTTTTAGTTTTTGATTTGTTAAAGTCTGCAAAAATTCATATATCGCAAAAAAGAAAGTATTCAGTCAACAAAATTAACACTAGACAAGTTATTTTTATTCTCAAATGAGGGTTTAGGTTGCAGGAATTTAGGGGCCCCCCTAGTGGCCATGTGGGGCCCTTTGCCTTTGCATAGTCGGCGAATAGAAAAGTAAAGAAACGGCTCTGCATAAGAAGACTTCTGAGTTATTTCAGGCTTTCAGATGAGACAGTGAACAACCGTATACAGCCAAAGCCCTTAAACTGATCTGCAGAAACTTGGTGAAAGTTGGTGGGAAAATTGTAGATTTTGCTTAAAATTGAATCGGGGGTCAGATCCCTTTGATGTTGATGGAAAACACTACATTTTCTTCGGCGCAACCATTTGAATGTATTTAAAACCTGGTGTCTGTCTGACCTCATGTCTGTGAGGTTTCACCTGTGTGCACTGAAGCATGTCATTATCAATAAAACTGCATTTCCGACCTGTTTCATGTTTGTGTCTGAGCAATACTACAAACATGCCATTTATTGTTAATAAAGTGCCCCTTTTAAATGTATTTGTATTTACTATACTATTATATACAGATCAAACACAGGAAGAAGAGATGATATGTATTTTTTCTGTTTGTGGTATTTTTAAAAAAATTATGTATGTTTTCTTTGTTTGAAATAAACTAAACTAATATACTATACTGTACTATAATATACCACACTATGCAATGACAAACTATACTAAACTATACTCAGAGGTGGAAAGTAACGAATTACATTTACTCACGTTACTGTAATTGAGCAGCTTTTTTGTAAATTTATACTTTTTAAGTCGTTTTTAAAATCTGTACTTTTACTTTTACTTGAGTAAGTTTTTAAAAAAGAATTGTAATTAGCTACATTTTAAATCACATCCGTTACTGAGTAAAAATAAATTGTAGGCTTAATAAATTAAAAATATTACGTGTAGCAGCGTCGGAACAGAAAGAGACACCTGCATGAGCACCACGTCTAAACCGGGGGGGGGGGGGGTACACGCTTTATGATGAGGACAAACAGCCATTTTTACCGCAGTTTTGCTCAAAAACAAAAGTTCTGTGATCCACTCGCTGTTTACCTCCTCTCTCCTCTCCTGTGGGTTGGAACCCACACCTTCGCGCACCGGTGTGACGTCATCAGAATTGTGCTCGGTTCAGCAACCAGACTCGGTTCCGTGTTTGAAATGTGTTTCCATACCGCGCACGGAAGCGGCAAAATTACGTTTAGCGTTCCTAAGAAGCGGATTCTCAGCGCTCTGCTCATAAAACAGAAGACCTGCAGGCCTCTGTGAGTTAAAACATCCTGATACTGTTCAGGTGTAAACATTGTGCTCCATCCATGTGTTTGAACTCAGAAGATGCTCCTTGATGCCACAGATATGTGATGATTTAGCTTGTTTATTTTACTCCAGAATAAGAGATTAAATTATTACAAAAGCAGTTCAATGTAGTTAAATTAGTCATTCAAATGATTCTAACATGCTGCAGTGTGTGTGTGTGTGTGTGTGTGTGTGTGTGTGTGTGTGTGTGTGTAGGACTGCATAAGACAGCATGGCTTCATCAAATCCATGCATCCTATATCTTTGCTGAAGTAATGGCTCAGGAAAATAACTTGTATTTAATAAACAATGACGTCTCTGCATTGTTTATGATAATGTTTTATCTTATATTGGACCTATTTTTGGTCTGGGAGGTGTAACGTATCATGATACAAGCCTTTTAAAACATGTTAAAGTGTTACAAGAGGAGATAAAAACATGAATTTGAAGTTCATGTTTGGAGAGCAACCTTCACAGTTTGGAGGCTCACGCTGGTGAGGAGACACCATTAGTTCTAGTAACACCTGGGCTCCCAAGGCCTATTCTGACAGGATGTACGTTATGAGACCCTTAAGGATTCCAGTTGGATGATTGGAGGATTATTTAGGAGGACTGGAATGAACAAACTGGTTTCAGTGGTGAAGGGTTAAAGGTATTGGCTCGGCATTAAAATTGTAGAAATGCAAAATAACTACACTTTATTATCTATATAAACATGTACTGGGTCCAGTTTTTTATTTTATTAAGGACTTTTGTCATAAATCATTACAGAAAATCCAAATCCTCTCCTCCAGACAGTGAAGAACTGTGTTTCGCATACGTCACTCCAGCACGTAAAACAAGGTAGTTGCTGATGCTAATATTGTGAATCACTGTTATTTGTTTACTTTCATGCTCCTAATTATTATGTAAAATTGCGTTTACAGCTGCAGCAAAAGGTCTGAGCCATGTGTCCGTGTCCTACACGCATTTTTAAATAACAGGTCTGATCTAAAATAATAACCTACATCTATAAATCCATCTAGAACTGCACCGCTACTTCTGGACTCCAGACGAGTCCCGTTAGCATGACTGCAGCAAAACTAACCGTGTTCACTCCGGTAAGGAAAGAACAAGTCCTTTGGGAAAGCTACGACACACACACACACACACGCACGCACGCACTCACACACACACACACACACACACACACACACACACACACACACACACACACACACACACACACACACACACACACACACACACACACACACACACACACTCACACACACACACACACACACACACACAGATATAATCTAAAAGATGATCTCTATATTTCAACATTAAAACCTCCATGACATCCTGGATTAGTGCAAACAACGAATTGAGCTAAGGAGTTACTCCAGCATCAGGAAGATTTATTCTGGTAAATTGTAGGTTCATTATTTTCCAGAGTTATCTCAATAAATACACACAGCAGGAAAACTGTAGATTACTGAACTATATTGGGACACATGATGGAGCTAAGACCAGCTGAAAACTTGCCAGCTTAGAGCTTCCAGTGGAGCACAGAAATGAAATATTTAAGAAAAGTAAACAAACTGTACCGATTTTGGTTCTGAAGATGAACAGAATCCTCCTCTATGTCCAAATCAGGTTGCAGGTCTTCTGAGTCAAACGGTCTAAAACATGTCTGTACCTCTGGTAGTGATATCCAGCTGGCGGGGTCGGAGTTCGGTTGATTTTCTCCAGTAATCTAACATCCGTTCTCGTTGCCGTATCCCAGAGAAAAAACAAATCTGATGGACTAGTAGAGGCTTCAGAAGCTACATCTGATTGATGACACATTGTTCTCTGCTATAACGCTAACGCAGAAACAGTGGAGCCAGGCGTTGTTTACTACAGCTGTTTCAGCAGAGCTCCATGTGAAACGTCAACTGCTGCCCATGGCTTAGACCGGACGTTAGTTTCTGTTTTTCCCGTGCCGGTCACAAACATCAGATTTTCTTACAATTCCAGCCGTCAAAATCCAAAAACCTTTTTCATCTAAGGTTTTAACACACATTTACACATGCTGTTCAAACAAATTTTGCCTCTGGCCGATATCTTTAAATGAGTGAGTGAACCCACTACCAAAGATGAACTCTGCTAACTTTAAAAATCAGCTGCTCTAAATAAGCATTCAGGGAAAAGTCATGGGCTTGTGACTATAACCTAATTTATGTTACTAGTTTGCAGTGTAACTGCCTTTGTACTTCAATATGCATATTTGTTCATTTAATTAAAAAAAACGGCCACTTTGACATTTATACCCCATTGTCCTTTTTTAACTATTCAGAAGAGCCCGTCCTTGCACAGTCAAAAAAGTAACTAAGTAACTTTTACTCTGACTACATTTGAAATAAGCTACTTTTTACTTTTACTTGAGTACATTTTGAGGCAGGTAATTTTACTTGTAATTGAGTAAAATTTCATGAAAGTAATTATACTTGTACTTAAGTACAACATTTTAGTACTCTTTCCACCTCTGACTATACTACACTATAATGTAAATTTGTTCAAGGGCCGGAGGTTTTTCCAGCACTGTGAGGGCCAGATTCTTCAAAAATAAAGTTCAAGAATTATTTAATCTTAATTTATTAATGTTTAAAACGACTTTTGATTCGGAAAAGGGTAGAATGCCTTCTCCGGGTCAGGGATGAGGTCCTGCCCCAAGTGGAGGAGTTTAAGTATCTCGGGGTCTTGTACACAAGTGAGGGAAAACTGGAGTGTGAGATCGATAGGCGGATTGGTGTTGCATCTGCAGTGATGCGGGCATTGTACCGGTGTGTCGTGGTGAAGAGAGAGCTGAGTCAGAAGGCGAAGCTCTCGATTTACCGCTCGATCTATATTCCTACCCTCACCTATGGTCATGAGCTTTGGGTAGTGACCGAAAGAACGAGATCGTTCATACAAGTGGCCAAAATCAGTTTTCTCTGCAGAGTGGCTCAGCTCTCCTTAGGGTGAGAAGCTCAGTCATCCAGGAGGGACTCGGAGTAGATTTGCCGTTCCTCCACATCGAGAGGAGTCAGTTGAGGTGGCTCGGGCATCTGGTCAGGATGCCTCCTGGACGCCTCCCTGGTGAGGTTTTCCAGGCACGTCCAAATGGGAGGAGACCTAAAGGTAGACCCTACCATCATTCACACACCCTACTAAATAGTATAGTAAATTCTCTTCTATAGCACTTTCACAGCTGGGTTGGCATGGACCTGCCCTGCTAGGGCATATAATGTTCTGGGTAACCTAAGTGTTTTCCATGCTCAACTAACCATTTTTTTCAGATGTTCTCCCTCGGCGGTCCGCTTCAGGTTGAGCTGACCCAACACACCTACTGCCCATTAAAATTCACGCCTCCCCTACTGCTGACTGGTGAGTAGAATCAGCTAGCTGGGGCTTCCCACATGGTGATCCATTATCATTCTGGACGCTGGGGAGTAAACATCTCCTCTCTGACGTTAACTGACTGGTAAGGTTGCTATGCCACTGAGTGCTGCTAGTTCCCTCCAACCACCATGGCAGACAAGGAGAGTGAAATGTCCTGCTCAAGAACACAACGTCTATGATAAGTACACGCTGAACTAGCTGGAGTAGTTATATCTCCAATTTGGCCTTGAAACACCCCAGGATCCCTTAAGAGGAGCAGGGGAGTCTTGCTGCAAAGATAGATGTCTGGAATAATGAATGTTTACTTATTTTTTAAATCAAGTGTCCTGTTCGAAACTACAGAGCAACAGTAAAACTATCATAGAGTTTATTGTCAAATATCTGAATTTATTACCAGGATGCCAGACTGTGGCTGAGCTAAAGTTTTTAAAGGTTGATCAATTTCTTCAAGGTTATCCTGGATCCTTTGACTTGGCCTAGTGATTAGTAATTTTGGTTCAGCTTCTGTTAAACCACATTGCAATAAGCCAGAAACTCTATGAGGTCCATGCAGAACAAAGTTTACCATCATATTGAGTGTGATGTGACACATTTGGAGACAAATAAAAATATTTGCAATGACACGTTCTGTAGTTCATAACCAGAGTTTAGATCACTGACCTCTGTGTGATCCTGTAGCGTCGTTAGAAAAATCTTTCAGAACAATTCTTCTCCTGAGCTCCCACA